TCCCCTATCGATCTTGGGGATTTTTGCGCAAAAACTACCGCCTAAACTAAATGAATCTAAATGAAGTAAACGGCAATTTTGACCGCGACTCATGTGCGTTGGTCAGAAACCGAGTGGAAAATGTCTGTTTCAGGCATGAAAGAGCAAGCAATATACGACGCGGACCCCCCTCCCAAATCCGCTAAGAATCTGAATCCTTCCTCACAGAGCACAGCTTAAATAGGTAGATGCAGTGTCATTACGCCTTCTTAAGACCTGCACCGGCAGGCCTGCCTCTCAAGCAAAGAAAAAGAGAGAGGGAGAGAGAGAGAGAGAGAGCACTGCCTCTCGAAAAAATTGCTCAAGCTCAAATGACTGAACTGGTGCCCATGATTCTTCACGCAGTCGACCCCACCCAACTAGCCATTCATGACTGCGCGTCAGGGGCTCTACGCAGGAAGCTCTAAACACACACTTGTTTTTCTGGAGAGTTCAGAATTTGGCTTTAGGGCTTGGGGTGTACAAGGTGGCAAGACAGTCAGCACTTTATAGGTGCAACAGGGAACGAACACATGCTCGCAGAGACCTGGTGCAGACTGTCCGCAACTGATCGTATCGGACATCAGCCCTCGAACAAATGATTCTACTCGTCACGAAGTTAGTTAGTGGCCAGTCCTATAACATTCTTGTATTGCATGCTGCATGGCGCTACCGTAACGAAAAACATCTTAAATAGTCTGTGTGCAACGTTGCGTAACCTCGCGATGCGACCATGTTGACATATGAGTGGGAGCCCGCCTTCCGATGTGGCATGGATTAGAATCTCCTTACTCGTTGGCGACCGACGTGCTTATCGGATAACTTCAGGAGGACGGCAGTGCCGCTCTGCAGCAGACATGTTCTTCCTAAACCCCGCTCGACCCCCGTCGCTCTGCAATCTTTCTCATCATGCTTTCATAACCCAAAGAGCCGAATCCGAATCAACACGAGCTGTGCAAAAATGCTTTGAACAGTCTGCACATCAGGAAACAAATTGGAACTCCTCCGGTCACGGCCAAGGCGCTGCTTGCAACGCAAAGGTCCCTCCCAAGGCAAAACCAACTGCCGCAGCACTGAAGCCAAGGAAACCCTGAAGCACGTGGGAGTTTGGATTCGGGGTCCTTTAGAGGTGACTCAGTGGACTCTTGGGCTTTGAGGCGTGTGGTCAAGAAGCCTCAAGAAGCGTCAGGCTGGTGGGACACACACACACACACACACAGTCTGCCCAGATCTGTTGGGTTCTTGAAAGTGCAGTTTACAACCTGGTAAAACTGAGAAAGGCAATCCTGCAAAGAGCCTCACCAATCTGCAGAACGGCCAAGCCCAGCGACATCAGCGCAGATGAGATCACTAGGAACCATGGCCGGTTCAGGGTTTGCTTCCTAAGCATTCTAACTCAAGGGATTCTGAACACCCTCATGAAGGCATGAGACATTACAAGTAGCACCACAGCCCTAATGTCAGAACTAGAGAAAGCCGTTGAAGTCCACTTCGAGTGAGGCTCACGGACTCGGAGCCGAATCCAATGAACACGCGCCCAAAAGTGTTGAAGATCGAGAAAATCCTCATGCCAGCACAGCACCAAGCACTTAAGCTTGCACTGCTCCCAGCAGTCCTCAGACTGACCTATCCCTTTCAATGCTGCCTCAGGCTCGTAACATACACTGCGCTGGAGGCCGATGCGTCGTTAGAAACAGACTTTACAATCCTCAGCGCAAGCGCAGTGCTTGCGAGCGCGGGAATCGAACCACAAAAAAAGCGAAGTCCTGCCCCTGAGCCCAGCATCTGGCCAAAGTTGTTGGAAAACATGATGCCAGAGCCCTGGAGCGAGACGAATGTGAAATACCTGCAAAGGCTCTCAATGCGAACCCTGCTCCCATCTCTTGGCGACAGACATTGAGCTTACCATCTTGGATCGGATTGTGCTGTGTTTTTTATGCGGCATCATAAGCCGTGTGGAAGATCTTACAAACTGCACCTTTTCAGAGGTGGAAAATACAATCTAGAGTTTGCTGAATCCATTTTACCTCCAAACGTCTTGTGTACTTCGGAGGATTTCTTGGCTCTGCATCAACACTGCACTCGCAATGTCTTTGCAACTTGAAAGCAACAGAATTGGGAATTGAGAGCAGCTGGCATAATGCCTTGCATGGCGCCTTACGGTAGGTTGTTGATGAAAAGTTGGTCTGCATGAGAATGGAAACCAGCACAGCCATCAATTAGCGCAGCGACAAGAGGTAGAAGTCGACACATTGAATCATCTCCCATGCAGATAGGTTTGGGCGCTGGATAGCCACCCTGAGCAAAGTTCTGCTTGGGTGGATAAAACATGCATTGGATTTCGCATGATTTCATACTGACTCGCTGCCTTGGACCTTTGCATACCTTTGTCACACGGACCTGTTTGAAAACACAATGCTTGCTCAAGCTTGCATGCTGTCCGACTGTAGCACACTCGCCACTGCAGTGCTGATGCTTGGATTTCTGAAGCCTCCCCAGTCCAGACACCGAAACTTCCACGGGCCGGGCAGCACCGCGTCGCTGGACGAGTGAGCTCCACTGTCGGCACGGCAGGCAAGGGCAAAAAGCCCAAAAGGCAGCACGGCAACGGCCTGCGACAAGACACGGCAGAAGAAATAGCTGAGATAACCCTCCATCAAGGCACTTGCTTGCTGACAGTGCCACCGAGCCCTGCACCATGGCCACCGGCAGCGTATACGCTTTGTTATACGCAACAACTGCACAGAATGCCGTGTATGCCAAAAGCGCCACGGTAAGGAACGAAAACTTCTTGGACACAGTCTCCGCATCTTCCTTTGGCAGCATGCGGCAGCTACAGTGCTAGCACTGCTGGTTGTTTGCCGGTTTCATGATGCTTGCAGCTAATAACTTGGCCCATGTTGAGCCTGTCCTTGTCAGGGCTGTTCGTGAAGGCGATCAGAGGCACGCTGAAAGCCCCTACCCCCAGGGCCATGAAAGCCAGCCAGAGAGGGAAAGTATCCAGATCCTCATCCGAGTAGATGCTGTAGAAGACCTGAGCTGTTTGTGCCGACAAGACAAGATCCGCAACACTAAGTGGTTCATGACCTTCAACTACGGTGTTTCTCAGACCGTCGGTCTCTCTCCATCATGCAGACCACGCGTCTGTGCTAACAACTGCTGCAGTGAGTCCTCAAACAGCTGGCAGCGGCAGCGAGTCAAGATTGCAAATCAAATGGAGTTGCTGGGCGCGACCACAGCTCACATGCTGTCATGGTGTGTTGCACAAAAGCAAGCCATGCTGGGCTTTTGACGCCACGGCAATTGCAGAGCTACACGATCTACAGATTCAAGTGGAACTTTTTACACATGTGCCCGGTCCTTCCATTGCCTTCATAAGGCCTACCGCGCTGCCTGTGCGGACGGACTTCTTCGCGTGAGCACTGCTTGAACAACTCTTCTTGACATCTGTCACAGACACATGCCTGCAGCATAAACAAGAAGGCTGCGTGGGCCTTTGTGCTCCGAAAAGTTTTGGACACTCGTCGATATTCCGGCGTTATCGCAATAACCCAGGCTATGACCGAAGATGCCAAAAAGGATTATCCTCAGATGTTTTCTGATGCGCAGCTGACAGTTTGGAACAAACCCAAAACTGTGGTGTTATCTTAAAGAATTAAAGGTTGGCAGAAATTATTGCTTCTTTTGTTTCTTCGCAATTTAAATGCCAGCGTACGTAAGTATTCAACGTAATACTTGATGGACAGCCTCGTGCGTGAGTCTTCTACCTCTGAATTGACATGTCATCAAACATTTGATTGCTGCAAAGTTACCTCCACCTTTTGCTTTCTCAAGCGCCGTCATGCAGCTCTTGATATGTACAGCATGGAGGCTGTTTCCCATTAATGTATATGAATGTAGGTAGCCCCCTTAATCCGGGGGTGGTCACATCCGTGACCCGTCCTGCCCAGGACCACTGGTCATCTCCGATACTGGATCTCCCACGGCATTAGGGCGCCCAACGCATTAGAGAAAGCGATAGACGATGCTGAGAACTGGGATCGGAAGCAGCCAAACATACGTGTGCACTGTGGATGGTGCAACGATCGCCAGAAAGAGTCTTGCATCCCTAGACGGGAAATATTATCGGTCCAGCTAGACTTACTCTCCACCCATTCGAACCACAGGCGAGAGTGCAGATGAAACAGAAGCAAATGCACAATCTGTGCCATGTGGTCGAGGCTGGAATTATGCTCTGTGCCTTTGACAAGCGCCATAACACCGGCGATGTTATCGACCAACCAGATTCCTGATCTCGAACGGAAGAGGTGCGGAAAGCACAGGAGGCCTTGCAGAATCCTCAGCAACTCCAACTGGGCAATGACAACCGGTCATCGGGCCAGAGCTGAATAACTCAATCGGTGATAGCAAGGACTGTGCCAACACGAGCACCACAGGGGCTCAGAACCAGAAGGTCCCCAAATCCCCTGCCATCCTCGATTGCTTCTGACACAAACGCCTGGTGCGGCTGCAGGCAAGATGGACGCCAAGAGGCGAGGCCGAGACTCAAGAACAAAGCGCACTGTGACGAAGGCCTGCCTTAGAGCGTCGCCAAGGATGTAGGGTGGATCAGAGGAGTACTGACGCTCCCGAATCACTCGGAGACCAACTCTGGCAACTGGCAACCTTACCAGCCTTACATAATTGTTCCCTGATCCCGAAAAGGCATTCAAATAGTTTGCTCACAAGTGCAGGAGGAAGGAAATTGTACAGCTCAGCTGTGTCAATCGGGTAATTGAATTTATCAATGAAACGGGAACGAATCCAGAGAGGGACCTGCCCGTGTTGAAAGCATTGCTCAAGGTCGTGAACAATGCCCAAGAAGTCACCCTGCTTGGACGGCGGCAAAAGCAGGGAGCCTGTTAAACGCGGACACCGCTAACGGGAGAACGAACAGCATGCTATGGTAGCGTCTATGGTCGTTGCATCCATGACCGGGTCGTGCCAACCTATGAAAAATTGAAACCATTTGGCTTTCAATTTTCCGGAATTTGAGCCTTCTGTAGGAGAAATGTATTTTGTGGCTGAGGGTTCTGGTTTTGGATGCCAAAAAAACCATCTGAACTCATCTCACACTTGCACATGCTCCAAAACGGTGCAATGTCTTGGTGTGCTCAGTAGTACTCATCTGTAGTCTATGTTGTAATGAATGTTTTGGCCAAAATCCAATCGCTGCACCTGGCATTCTCTTTGTTTTTTCGTAGAAAAGACTCGCCTTGCTGACCCAGTGACTCCAACCATAGAAACCATATGCTATTATATGAATACAGCCAGCATACCCAGAATGGTCTGTCAAATTTTGTCATTCAAAAGTGCTGTGTCAGCTCACTGCAGGAT